AAAAAAAAAACAGTACACCACATATCGGCCCGCGGGAGTCGGCATGAAACCCGCACCACTTCGGAGGACGCCGATTCTTTTTTTCAACGGCGGGCCTGGCCGCGCGGTGCCGAGTTTTGCTTGTGGCGACAAAAACTTTCTGCAAGGCTGGGGCCGTCTACCAGCGGTTTAAGGGACAATTTATGTCGCAGTAATCGACCTTCCATACGGGTCATTGTGCACAGGCTGATTTCCTCTGGCGCTGGCGGGAGGCTATGGTAATCCCGCTACAATGTCGGGATCAAACCTGCTCATCTTCAGGGGGATAGACGACAACACCTTCCGAAGCCACTTCTATTTACAAAGTCAAAATGTGCCCCCCCCTCTCACCCCCCCTCCCACCCCCCCCTCCAGAGCACCATGGTATGGCAATTCCACACGGATCGAAGGTACTCCTGGCAGTGATGATCTCTAGCCCACCCATCTTCGACCGCGTACATCACATCTTCAACGCATTTTTGATATTGCCCAACTTCGACTTTGACATGTCTGCTCAGCAAGGGTGTCATGTCTTATAGGTGCTGTGCTACCTTACAACTTTTTACAACTCCTCCATGCGTGAATCATTGAGTGGCGACATCTTGGAGGAGTTGTAAGGTATGGAGTTTTTTCCCCCCTATACCATGGTGAGTTAAAGGCATGGAGTTTAACCCCCCTATAACTCCATGCCTTAACCATTCCGCGAAGACTCCTTGGTGGACGTTTCGTGTCTGGGGATATCAAAACCTCCTCCCACAAAGGAAGGAAGAAGTCACAGAGAGGATATTGGGGGAAGAGGCGGAACAACCGTTGATGAGCTCCAACCCTGGATGACCACAGAAGCATGTTCCCAACACCACCCCGCATATCAACTATTATCAAGCATTCCGCCACTTGATTTGCGCACGCAGCGTCAGGGATACAGTATCCACCTCCCAAAATCCTGTTCCCAACAAGCTCCGTTACCTGTATTTCTTACATTGCCCATGAAAAAAGTCACTCCCAACAAAAAAAGAATACGAGGCTTTTCACACACGCAAGCCAGAAGGGTTGCTGATAAACGGCCCAACCAATCCCCTGCCACTTAGGCCCCCTTAAATGCAACAGCAACTCTGAGCCCTTGACTTCCTAACACACACACACACACACACACAGAGAGAGAGAGAGAGAGAGAGAGAGAGAGAGAGAGAGAGAGAGAGAGAGAGAGAGAGAGAGAGAGTTTCCTGAAGACATGCTTGAACCAATTCAAGAGTTTTCCCAATTAGCAGCGATGACTGAGTTCTGGAGCACAATCCTCAAGATCACGATGAGCATTCTCAGGCACCATTCTCTTCGTTCGACGATGATTCATATTCCGATCAGGGGGTACTTGAGCACCTTTGCAGCTCCCAAGAGCAAAATGTGCTCCCGCACGTGAGTGTTGTGCCTTCTTTATGGAAGTGACTCCCATGTAAACACCATGCGACCCCAGCTTAAGCGCCACTGGGCCTCCAGCACATACTCATCTCATAATTTTTCACTAATCATGAGATTTTGCCCATGCATAAGCGTTCCGCTACCGACCCCGAAGATCATCGGCAAACAATCGCACTTTGTGTCCAGGCTGTCTTGATGCACTTAAGAGGTTCTAAACCACCAGTACATGGCCCCAGGCGACTGGAGAACCTGTTTTGAGCCTCTCCGAAAATTTAGCAGTCCGAGCGCCGTAGATAAAATGAATCGGCGTTCAGTGGTGTCGGAAAAGGGCCCGCTGCCGATAGCTGGCATGTACTGGTGCTTTAATATACTTTAAAGCAGCTGCACCTGGCATTCATCATGATTTACGAGAACGGCTGCTGGTCATTGGTCAGCGGATATTGATATTCAATTAATTTTTCATGCGACGCTCACATTGAAACTCTCCATCTGACGATGACTCGGTGTTAGCGCCTTTATACCAGGAGCGTCACATTGAGTGGCGAACACATTAAGCAAGGGCTTAAGAGCCCAGCAGAGGAGGTCCTCTCGAAGCAGCAGCAGCGCAGCGGCTGCAGTCGGCAAGTGCTGTGATCCTTGTGTGATCCTTCCGTGAGCCCTTCCCTGAACACTTTGCGAAGATGCAGACCATAAACAGCTTGCAGGTCCGATGACGCTTTTCTCCAGAGAAGTGCACGCTCCCAAATTGCTTTCACATCAGACGTGCCTCCAGAAAACTGCAAGCAGAAGCAACTCGCGTCCCCTCAGCAAATGAGAAAGAAAAGACGAGCCATAATAGAACTCGCCGCGCCGGAAGACCAATCCAACGACTACCGTAATATAATGTCAAAATAATTGTTCTCCGAGTCGGGCGTTAGGAGCTAACTTCCCATTGCAAGTGGCTACATCCGATCCGAGCTGCTTCGAGCCACGGTGCGAGATGATAGTCCCAACTTTAGTTCCGATGAACCCGCATGTCAGGAGAACCCTCCGCCGGGCCTCCGGGCACTGCACACCGTCAGAGGTAGGATCCTCTTTCAGGAAAAAAAAAAAAGGAAAAAAAAAGGATCCTCTCATTGTCGCATAAAGTTCATAAACATTACCAGCAATCATGAAATGCCGCTGCAATGGCATGGCTCTACGGCGCTCATATCCTCCGGTGCCGTCAAGTGCAAAACTAGCGGAGTTGAGCATCCAGACTGACCGATACATCGGCATTTCGGCCCCTGAGCGGGTTTGGACTATAGCTTTGAACTAGCAATAGACGCATCTCGGTTAGCTCTCATGGACTGCATCAAAATATCATTGCGAAGAGTCGACGGCAAGACCCAATGTCAAGTGTTCCCCTCTTCAGGCTGCAGCACGACGCCTCAAGTTCACATTCTACAGAGCACCACCACCACCACCAGTCTAACCCAATCAACGGGGACAGCGCAGGAGGCAGACAAAGTGCGCGATGCAATAACCACTGCTGACCCTTGCCTTCCTTTCCTGGGGTACTCAACAACGGCACATTACTGCGCACACTGCTCACTTTAGCAACCCCCTTGTCTTTGTGTGTCTGACAGGGTGCCTCTTCAACCATATGGTACTGCTTCCGCTCACCCACAAACAAGCGCCCGCCTCTTTCTTCTTCGCCTCGGCGTGCTTTCAATGACGACGCTTTACTGTGCACACTGCTCACTGCTGCAAACAAGCGGCTGCCTCCTTCTTCGCCTGGGCGTGCTTTCAATGACGATGCTTTCCTGCGCACACTGCTCACTGCCGCAAACAAGCGTCCGCCTCTTTCTTCTTCGCCTGGGCGTGCTTTCAATGACGACGTTTTACCTGCGCACACTGCTCACTGCCGCAAACAAGCACCCGCCTCCTTCTTCTTCGCCTGGGCATGCTTTCAATGACGACGCTTTCCTGCGCCCACTGCTCTCTGCCGCAAACAAGCGCCCGCCTCTTTCTTCTTCGCCTGGGCGTCCTTTCAATGATGACGCTTTATTGGACACACTGTTCACTGCCACATACCCCACTGCTCTCTGCCGCAAACAAGCGCCCGCCTCTTTCTTCTTCGCCTGGGCGTGCTTTCAATGACGCCGCTCTACTGCGCACACTGCTCACGCATACCCCTTCTCTCTGTGTGGCTTACAGGATGTGTCTGCCTGCTCAAATCGTTTGCTAGCTTCCACTCACGCACAGACAAGCACCCCCGTTTTTCCTTCTTCGCCTGGGCGTGCTTTCAAACCAGTGGGAGACGCCGTGAGACACAACTCACGTCCGACCAAAGTAATGACCAAACTAAACGCTCGACCATGCAACCGGACCGAACGAAACATGTACTAAGAAGAAATCGACAAATTCTGGACCGGCAAGAGGGGCGCACAAAGGAACGCATTCCAAGTCAATAACACCAAAACCTCACCACTTGCAGCGTGTCTGCGCCCGGCCCACTTGTGACAACACTCACACAAATTATACTCGCAATATGACTACATAGACATATAGTAATGGCATCAAACTATACACAGTATAGTATTCATCTGCGGCATCCACACTAATTATGATGCTCCGATCCACAATCATCATGGCATGCCTGCATCAATGCTATTCCACTCACAGAATGGAACCCAATCCTCTCCCTCCTACACCTAAACTCTTCCACTCACAACGTTCGCCCGTTGCGCTGCTGTCAATGATGTGCGGTATATCCCCTACTCAGGGAAAATAGCTATGTCACATGTTGCAGCTGTGGAGGACATGCTCTCTTTATAATGTGCCTTCACAATTGAGAAGCAGCATATCTGTCACTTCAGGAGTGGGGACCACACGTTTTCAACCACATGGCTTCCTGTGACACTGCACAGTGCACACCTCAGCAGCCCTGGCACCTAGAGAGTCATCTCTTTTTACCAGCTGACCTGCTGGGCGCACGTAGTCAAGGGTTTGCACCAAGTTCATCAGTTTCTAGAGTGGTGATGATGATGATAATGGCGTTGGGCGCAACATCGGTAACGAAGCTAAGACGGAGTGAGAAAAAACCGCCGTGTCGACGGCGGTCCTGCGCTATTCACGGCGGTCCTACGCTATTCACCTAAACTACGTTCCCTCTACAGTATCGATCAATGTACAGATGCTCGCTCACCGCGAAACATCAATCTTCCTCACAGGGCGAAAGCCCATCGTCCATTGTTGCTGACTTAAAAGGGTTTGTCACTATATCCCCCACCACTTCCCCCAACACTCCAGCGCTAACTTAAAGGTTGTTCGCCCCATCTGCCACGTTGCTCGTTTTTCCCGCGCATTACCAGGTTGGTCATAAACTTCGCAGCGGGACCGCTACAGGGCTTCTTCGATGGCAGTGATACTCGTTGTTCGGACATCAAAGAAGAACAGATGCTGCTCGCGCTCCATTGGTCCTCCCTCGTCAGCCCCATTGCTCATTTTTCCCACGGCTTCCAAGGCCAGTCGGTCAAGAACGTCCCAGTGCAGTAGTCCACCTCGTTAATGCTTTCTTTGAATTGCGTGTCGTGTCGTTCGGTCTTTGGAGACCGAATGCCGATCCTCCTACCGCCATACCACAAATGCCAAACGCAGACTCTTCGTCACAGCAGAGCTCCACCTATATAGGGTCAAATGGGAGGTGTGCACAAACTCCAGCTGCTGCCCAAAACGCTGTGCGCCGCATCTGCCTCGCTGCTCCTTGCCAGGTCCATCAAGAAGCACAGAGCTCTGCTGTGGCACACGTGTTGTTTCGAACTCCAGTAGAACTTATGCATTGCTTCTTGAGCTTATACATTGCTTCTTCCACTGCAGTGGCACCTGTGTTGTTTGGACCTTCATCTGAAATTGTCCCGCTGAAAAGGAGGGACAAATAATGAAAACAGACTCTTTGTGAACAACAGAGCTCCACCTATATCCACTTGAATAGGAGGTGGTTGCATATACAAGCCGTTTGCGGTGGCCCGGCAATACCGTGGAAAACCATGGGCATAACACCATACAGATCGACCGCGAATACAGAGTCGACGGCATCCGCTCTGTTATAGCCTGGAGGCAGCCATTCAGCCTAAGGCTTGGAAATGGGAGGCAACCATCCATCGAGTTTGGCACTAGGAGGCTAGCTAGGAGAGCCCTAGTGCTCGCTGCTGAGCTGCACTTACTTAGGCCTCCCAAATCCGCTAGCCAGGAGCTCAAAATTGCACTGTGGTATATCCCTCCATGCCCCCATTGCAACAGTTGTAAACAACAAGGCAAGACAAGGAGAAGGGGATCCATCCTACGGAAGCTTTCCGCCTTCCTCCGCCCGAAATGGATCAAGAAGAAGCGCAGAGGATGTCAAGCACCACCAGGCCTGACCAGGAGTGGAAACACAGATGGGGATCAGGCAAGACCAGGAGTGGAAACACAGATGGAGGCCAAGCACGATCATCCGGCAAGGTTGCCGCTGTGCCCTATCATGACTGACGAGGCGCCTCCTCTTTAATGTGTGTGGGTGATGATTGACTGTGTATGCCCATTTGTACACAAGGACTGGATGCGGACGGCAAGCATGGGGCAAACGGTGGTGAGAGGGGCGACAACGCACGTTTGATGCGCACAGCCTTCACATGAAATAACTGAGGGTGGTCTTCTTCCTCGTCCCACCCTCACCGTATTGCTCATTCCATTGCTGTAGTTCAAGTGCGAAACTTCCGTCTGTCGACACGCTTGATCTCACCTGCATTGTGCCAGTTCACAGTCCACAGTTCAAAAATCAGTCAGAATCTTCCTCACATAGATGCTGCTGCAGCACAAAATAGTAAAATACCCCTTCGGCGAGCACAAAATAGTAAAATACCCCTTTGTCGAAGAATTTCGCTAAGGCAGTTAGATTGCTTTGAGATTCAACCATAGTTATTGCAAGGGCCCTAAAGGGGGTCGGAGTGTCCGAATGCAACCACCTTAGGGGGGTGTCAAGACAAAAACACTAGGAATTGCGCCTATCTCCGGTGCGCTAGACACGAGGTGCGGCAAAGTGGGACATGTACGATTTCTCAACGCGCTGCCTGTGCTGTCTGTTTGCAATGAAATGAAAGGCACATGCGAGCTAAGGTTGTCGCTGGTCTGTTTTTCCCTCTTCTCCCTCTTCTCAGTTGGGCCTCGGAGGATCTGGAACTGGGCCCAATTGGAACTCTGGGACTGGGACTTGGGATGTCTGCCCACCGTCAACTCCTTTCAGTATTTGCACGAGAATTGCCGTGCGCACAGCAATTCTCACGTAAATACCTCCATGGGAGCACCGCAATTCTCGCGCAAATACTGAAAGGAGTTCATGGTGCACAGACATCCCGAGTCCCCGTCCCAGAGATCCAATTGGGCCCAGTCGCAGATGCTCCAAGGCCCAACCGAGAAGAGGGAGAAGAGGGACAAAACAGACCAGCGACAACCTTAGCTTGCATGTGCCTTTCATTTTATTGCAAACAGACAGCACAGGCAGCGCGTTGAGAAATCACTGTGCTCCCATGGAGGTCATCCTGGCATGGAGGAGGTGTGAAGAGAGATGTTTGTTTCATAAGACCGAAATCAGTCAGTACTGACTACAAAAAATCCCACCTCACATCCGTATCTTCCTACAAGGCCCTCTAAGAACTCATTTTAACGGTTTTTAAACCAACAGCATGCAACATCCCCTTTTTTTTTGTTTTTTGGTCTTTGGAT